ATCCACAAACCCTTTTCACTAATTAGACCAACACTTGCAGACCTCTGGAGGATTCACAGACCCCGAAGAGGAAACGCTAGTGTTGAAACCTCTCAATTCTGTCTTTGGTGATTAGGAAGTGAGATAAGGCAGGACAGCTTTTAACAAAGTGTGGCAGTCAACTTGCAAACCCTGGAGAGGCAGCTTTCTGTAATCTGAGAGGACACCAGATGCAGGAAAAAAAAAGACCCTCCCCCAACTAAGGCTCGGCTTTAAGTAAAGTATATATATCTGAAGCTCAGCCTGTGCAGCCAGGCCAAAGAGGACACTGTTAAAATGCCTTCTAATCTTGGACATTGGACAATGCACCGTGGCACTGTAAAGCCTTTGAAATCATATCAAGATGTATTGCAGAGTTGCCTTGGTGTAGGTGTGGGCAAGTCTGAACCAATGGACATGGTCTGAGGTGAAGCGACGTAAACCACGGAGCTGAAGAGAAGTTTGAAAGTGGGACATAAGAACAGGATTCTCTTCAAAGTCTGTGGGGGTACCGAAGGGGATATGTTCTAGGCCTGAGGCTCCCCTACTTCCCAGACACGAAGGAGGTAGTTTGGGACTTGGAAGTGTACTCAGACCTTGGCCACTTACCAGGTTGATGACATTTGAGAGAGAGGTTCTGCCTCTCTAGCTTCAGTTGGAATTATGTGGCATTAGTCATGGATTGTAGCTCATGGATTTGGGGCAGGATTAAATGGGAGAGCTGCACATTTTAAACAAGGCATGCTCTACGATCCGAGGTGGCCATTATTTTTATCACTACCTGCCTAACAGAATGTTCCTGGAGACTCGGAAGGAGCCTTTCTGAGTTAAGGCCATTTATCTCATCTTGTAGACAGTGTGACTGAGACTTAATAAAGAAGATGCTCCTAACTGTCCCTATCTCTACCCAAGGGCATCTGTCTAGCTAAAGAAAGAACTCCAAAAACAAGGCCAGTTTCTAAACTTGGAATTCTTCAAATCCAGTTTGTCATTCACATATGAAGTATGTATTATTTGAGTTTTTAAGATTTTTTTTCTTAAGTACCCAACAGAGTTGTACCAAAAGAAAACTGAACTCAGAAAGAAATAAAAACAAACAAACAAACAAACACAAAAGTGAAATGGTGGTTCCAAGAAACGAAGGACAGAGACCGCTGGAAGAAGAGATTCACAGTTATCGACACCACATCCCAACAAAGGGCCACACGTCTCATAGGCACACTGAGCATGGATTGGACTCCTCCCCCCTCCCAAGGTGAGCGATCCCCAGTGCATTCTAATGCATGCTTTATTTCTCCATTGATTTTAATTAAAAGGATATTGTCAAGGTTGCTAGGCATAAATATTGACTGGTTTTGACACTACAGTTGTCCCAGAGGCCCATTCTTGCTCTTTCAAGGTTTCTGTATCTCTTCAAGTTCCTGGTCCCTCCTTTTTGGTACATGGGACATATCAAAAAGAAAGCTATCAAAAAATGCTTGGTTGAAACACCAAGTTACAAGAAAAGTAAGTTCTAGTAAGTTAGAATAGTTACTCCTACATGAGATCTTGGTTATATAATGGATAAAATCTTCTGCCTAATGGTCTGACAGTTCAATTTGTATATGCAACAACCCATATGCCCACCAACAGTGCTTTTAATACAGTGAATGGCAGTCTTTGAAACAGTAGCTTTGCTAAAAGAGCTTTCTGCAGCCCATCCCTCCAGCATGCTTCCTGGGTTCAAGCGTGTCCTCTAAGTGATCATAATGCCTTCATTTAATCAAGTTGTTTTCAAAACACCATTTATGCTCAGCTCTACTTAGGGACCAGGAAGCGCTCTGGAGGAGCTGGCACTTCGGGGTTAATTCTAAGAGAGGCATAAGCAGCAGGAGGTGAAAGCAGGCCTGGCAGTGTCAGGAGGAGGTGGGCCGCTGAGAATGAACGAGAGGTGAAATGCATTATGAACATTCTCAGCGCAGACAGATTGTCTCTTCCTTGTTTATAGTAGAAAATCAATAGGGTTGTTTTCTGTTCAGTTTTCAAGGGCACAAGTTGCTGCTACTTGGGGCTGGAGAAGTTCATAGGGTGGTTAACGAATTGTCAGCCTCGACAGAGCAATTCAAGCCAAATTGACATCCATGTGCCATAAGCCTACCCTGAGTGAATTGGGGGCTACAGGGAAAGGCAAGAACATCCAGGACTGTGAGGAGCAGGCAGTCCAACTCACTGAACTACAAAAGGGATTTGCGGCTTCATCCAACAGGTAAAGGGAAGACATGTCATTGTACGTGGAGAGGGCTGCCATCCTGAAGAAGGCAGTAACATTTCTGGTACAACACAGCTGTTTTTAGTCAGTGTCCTATTGCTGTGAAGAGACTTCATGATCATGGCAACTTTTATAAAAGAAAGTATTTAATTGGGGCAGGTTTACAGTTTCAGAGGCTTAGTCCATTTTTATCGTGGTGGGGAACATGGTGGCATGAAGGCAGACATGATGCTAGAGGTGTAGCTGAGAGTTCTACATCCAGATCTGCATGCAGCAGGAAGAGAGAAATAAGGGCCTGGCTTGGACTTTTGTAACCTCAAAGTCCGCCCCACACTTCCTCCAATAAGGTCACAACTTCAAATCCTTTCAGTCCTTGCAAATAGTGCTACTCCTTGGTGACTAAGCATTGAAATATATGAACCAATGGGGGCCATTCTTATTCAAACTGCCATACTTCGTTTTATCACTTCTTCCATTTCTCATTGCTAGGCTCTGTTTTCATTCCCAAGTAGCAGAAGGTTGTTATTACTCAAGGCTTTCATGGTAACAAATAGACAGGCTCTGGTGTCCATAGGCCCTGAGTTTAAAAGCCTGGATGGGCATAGAATGAGATCATTTGTTGGTCCCTTCTGCATCCCATAACTTTGGCTTTACCAACTATAAAATGGGCAACAATTTGTGAGGCTACATTGAAATGTTCATTGAAGGCTCTCACTTGTAACAAATGCTTTTAGCTCTTCTTTTCTAGTTAACGGCCTCTCCTGGTTTCCTTAATAGCCCTAAATCTCTGAGCACACCTTTCCTTCCCAGGAAGTAAACTGATAAATTCACTTAGACCAAAGGGTTGACAGCAGTTTCCCTTTCCAAGTACACCTCAAGGGACAAAAAGTATTGTCAGCAAATTATGAAATGTAACTGTCCCATCAAGCCCTAAGAGGAAGGTGTCAGGTAGAGCTCATTAGCATATTGGTCCTTTGAGCTTCAGGGTTCCTTATTCAAAGTGACAGCTCAAATTATGGGGCCTTGTGGATGTGGCACTTTAGTTAAAAGATGTTAGCATAAGGCTGGAGTCAAGGCAACCTGCAGGCCCCAAGCCCACTGCAGTAGATGTCCCAGGCTTAGGGAATTCCAAGCTTCAACCATCCCAACCTGTCCCAAGGCACAGGGTAGCCCACCAAGCTGAGGTGCCTTGCTACCCCAAGCCCTTCTGATGCCCACAAGAGTAGTGACTCACTGCCACTCCTCCCATCTTGCAACAGACCACTGTGCCATTCCCTGCCAAGAGCTATGTTTACAGGCCAGTTAGATGTAGCCTTTGAGCAGTGGGCTCAAGGGGCTCACTGGCAGCTCTCCTTCCTGCCTCAGGACAGTCAGCCTCTCCTTACTTCCCCAGGGCCTGTGGAGGCAGGAGACAAAATGGCGGCAACACCTTAGTGGGAGCTGTCCATGGTGACTATTCCTGCCTCAGCTGACTGCCTCAGAATGCCTACTATTACCACCATGGGAGGTCTCCATAATGATGACAACATTTCCTGCTTCAGCCTACGGCCTTCACAGTGGACTCTTCCTAAAATTTGGACTCTTTGTGGACTTTATAACCTCTCAAGGCGGAAAAGCAGCCAGACCTCTGCCTGAGGAAGCCCCAGCAGCCCAGCCCCTGCCCCTGACCTTTGTAACTGCCATCTCTAGCCTCCCAGATTATGCAAATTTGAGGTGAAAATTCTGGACAAAACCCCGCCAATCTCTGAGCAGAAAAACTGAGCAATCCATGAGCTTCCCACTAAACCCACCAATCCCTGAACAGGAAAGCCCACCAATCCCTGCGTTCCCCCAAGCTTAGGATTTGAAATCCCACCAATTCACACTCTGGAAATCCATGCCCCACAAAACTCCATTCCCTAAAAAAAAAAAAAA